AAAGAGTAGAAAGCACATATCCAGTTCTGACTCACAGGCTAGGCAAGTCCCTTAAAGAGCTAATGAGCTGCAAGCTTTCAAGAAAAGACTGTATGTTGTAACACTGCATAAATTGCATAGGAGATAGAGCAGAAACTCACATCTGAAGTATTAAGGAAGGACAAGGAGAGTCCAGGTCAAGTGAAATAAGGCAGACCGTAAATGCAAAATCCATGTGAAAGTATTTAATGCAGTTTCATCCTCTCTCTGGGGCTGTCACTTCCTTGATGCTTCAAGAAGGGAAACGCTGTGGTAGGCACAGCTCACTGAAGTAAGAGATACAGAGAGTTCCATTTTCCTTTGCATCGTGCTGTGTTGGCGTATTGGGTATTGTACTGAATTCTTAATTAGACACATCCTTGCAATGTTGGCAAGGAAGCTCATCAAAGAAAATACAAATAAAACCAGATAATGGTTCTTAAGCTTAGAAAAAGAAAAGCAATTGGGGAATTTTTTTTTCTGCCACTCTAGAGCTTGCCTTTGGTGCAGTTCTTGTGGGGTTGGTGAAGAACACAAATCAGGACTCTTCCTTTGAGTATTATTTTTCTCAGGACTACATCACTCACTCTGTTCTCAGGTCAGGATATGGGTGCATAAATTAGCTGCATGTTTCTCTTTTGGGAACTTTGTAGAGGAGAAAGGTTTGGGATCTGTGATTTGCATGTTTGCTACAGCCTCTAGAAAAAGCTCCCGTAACATTTCCAGAAACTATTATTGGATTTTTTCCCTTCTAGGACAAGAAGGATCAGTAGGACTGGATCTTTCTGTAGCTGAACATAAGGGACAGTTTGCCAGCAGAGAGCAGAAAAAATTATATAAAACCCATAAACTTCCCATGTAAATGAGTTCACAGATGTGCCAGCATATACAACAGTTAATTGCACTGATGGCATATTTCTTGCTTCTTTCTGCAGTTTTGATTAGAGAATAAAAAGAATGCTTTAAATATCACATCCTGAGCAGGTGTAAACTGAGGTAATTCATTGAAGTTAGTATAACTGTATCATTTAAAGGATCAGCAGAAAGATCTTTCTTGTATGCACGTCTGTTTTATTTCAGGATATACACTGTCAGTTTTGTAAATTTAACTAAACGGCTTTGGATTAACGTAAACTTTCATCTTAATTCTGAAGGCCCTATAAATAAATAAATCCTAATACTTAAAGAAAAGCTTTCCAGCATTAATGTTTAATAAGAGATTCTACGCAGATAAGGTAGTGATTCAGGATTTGTTCTCAGATTCAGGCTAAATTTGTGGCTTATTCTTTCAAGTTGTACTGTGGAACTCAGAAGTTTGTAGAAGTTGTAAACAAACCAGGGGAGCATAAGACGAGAACAAACTGGAAAGTGCAGAAATGAATACAGTTCATAAATGGTTTTGTAACAGTATTTTCCAAATACTGTTCATGTGATAGAAGTAAAAAGCAAAAATTTAATTAAAAAAGTCGAGCAGTTTACCTTGCATAACTGTGTCTTCCTTTCGTAGTATGCAATCATAGGTTTTGACGCTTGGTAATAGCTTTCGATTCCTTCCTTGATGGTTTCGGCACTATCAGTATGCTGACTGCTCTGATTTCTCATCAGAAGGCGACTGCTCATTGTTTCTGCAGAGCAGTCCAGGCAGAACACAAGTTTTGGTTCCCCAATCTAAAGACAGAGAAAAACATCAAATTTTCAAACCACTAGCCTGGTAAAACTGGCTTTGTTTGGATAATTTTAAAACAAAATGCTACTGAAAAAGTCATCAAGGAATTTATTAGCAAATTACTTTTGAATTTGTCTATGCAGAAATTATGCTTATTTACAAACAACTCTTTTTGTAGCAGCACTTAGCAGTATTCAGGATTGTATCAAGGCTGTTTGATTGGGCTTTACACATACATAGAAAAAGAGATAAGATCTGAAAAATGCTGGCTACTAGGACTGTTGGGCTGAGTCTAAAGGGATAAATTCCACTCCATCAAGTAAAATAAATGTGTTACAGAATCAGAGAAAAGCAACGTGGTAATTTTTCTATGCAGTTATGTATTAAATTCTTCATTGATGCTCTCAGGCTTTTTCTTGTTCCTTCCCTTTTTAGCAGGGATTAGAACATCTTTTAGGAAATAATAAGTCTTGAGAAAAGACAACTGCTCTTCGCAGTAGTGATCGCCAGAAATTCATGATTTTGCCATGGCTGCAGCAAAGAAAGTCTAAATGACTGACATATTGAAATTGTCATTGCTAAATTTGTTGAAAGCTCTTAAAGGAAGAAATATTCTAAAGGTAAATATTTCATGCTAGGCCTTCTGAATTTGACTGAGGATGTCTGGATTATGTTGACCTTTCCACCACCTTAATGACTTTCTAGGAGACAGCTGAAGTCAAGGGATTATATTGGACAGTTCAATGGCAGCTTTTATCCACCCATTTTTTCCACACAGCTCAGAAAACATTAATGCCATTAGCAGCAGCAGTATTGGGTTTGGGGATTAAAAAAGCCATCAAGGCAATTTTAACAGTGCAAAAGACTTATATCAGGAAGTTAAAAAAGATGTGGGCTCATACGGTGACTCAAACAAATGTCCTTTTTGTATAACTGGAGTAGGATGGTGAGAAGTTATTTCCTCCCAGCTCCACATGAGGAACGCCATGGTCTGATCTAAATTATAATAGAATAAATAAGAAATGATTCCTTTCATTAGTTACAGTCATATCATCACCTCACAATGAGGATATAGAGGAGTCCACTGAGTGGCAGGATCAGATAACAGTATCCTGTCTGACAGACCAGGTCTGATTTGCTTTTGAAAAATCTGTATGTTTCTCTTAAAAGTTTCAATGTTGCTGTTCTCTGGAATTCAAAACATTACTGAAATGTCATTCTGTCAAGTTCAAGAATTGCAAAGGTAAAAGTAATCAGTTATTAGAGCAATTTTTATTACTGGTTGGTTTTTTGTTGGGTTTTTTTTTTGTTGGGTTTTTTTTTTGTTGTTGTTGTTTTTTTTTTTTTTTTTTAAGTTACTGTTTTCCTGACACAATTTAGCTTAAAAAAATGCATTATGTGGGAACATCTGCAGGAATCCAAACAAGTCTAACGTATTGGGTCTTTACTCTGTCTTACTGGATATCTTCTACCTGCTGACGTGGAACTTGTAATTTAATATTGTTTTCTAATTCCCACTTAGCAGAATGTCTGAGGAGGGAACAGAGACACGTGCTTCTCTAGAATTATGGCTAGGTAAAAGTACAGAAAAGAATTGAGCAAAACTGGCCAGAGACTAAGCTTACACAGACTTACTGAGCAGCTTAGAGCCAGCCAAGATCACTCTGTGAACACTGAAGCGCGTACATGGATACAACAGGTTGAGTTGGCACATTCAAAATTACCACTTGGGGTCCTTGTACTTTACTCCAAATGTCAAAGGCAGCTCAGGGCTACAGGATCTTTTGCTCTACAGTGTCTACAGGAACTGAAGGTTTTGTTCTGGATGCATCGAGCTGTTTGCCTGGCAATGCCTCAGTCCAGGGCACTCCAAGCTCTTAAATGCTACTTTATAGCATACACCAGTATTCACAGGACGTGATGCGTGTGCCTGCCAGAAAAGCAGCACTGCTGAAATAGACCCTCCTTCTACATGAAATGAAAGAAATCTCCAATGTCTTTTTAACAGTCCATGACATTTTAGTAAAGGAACTAATAGACTGACATTTCTGTGAATGGTGTCTATAGCAAATTCTATTACCCATTATTTTGTACAGCTTCTGATGCCTACATCTAGCTAGGCTTTTGTGATAATCAACTAACCGAAGCAGCAGTTCAGGGAGAAACCAGATGATTCATGAAAGTTTTATTACCTTTTAAACTTGAATGGGAAGTTTGTCAGTGTAATCTGAATATATACTTAACTGTTTCCTCTAGCTAACCAATAATTTTCTCCTAAACCCTGGCAAACTCATTCACAGGGCTTATATAGCGTATTTTCTGCAGATTGAGAAATGTACAGCTGAGACTTCTCAGTAGGTCTTAGCACATACTGAGGAAATCGATAACTCTCTGAACTGTCACGCAGTCACTTGCAAAACACTCTTTTTATGGCTATGCCACCTCTTACTCATCACAAACATAAAATCCATGTTTTGCTGTTTCACAGTGGTAGCACGCTCTAGAAGAGCCAGCTCAAGGGTAAGAGATACTGACTGAAGTTATGTTCTTTCATGAACCTACCTCTAATAGAGCTTGATGAGATTTTCATAATAAGTACAGCAGCCATCCACTAGAATTAGAAAATTGATTCTAAAAATGGTGCTTTCCACTACATGAGAATTGTTTCTGGTTTATATTAAATTTGGTTAAAATCAGCTTTTACTTCTCCTGGTATTAGAGAGTCTGTGTAGGTGAGGGCAAAAGCTGGAGTTGCTATATTGATGGGGTGCCCAAGTTTCAGTGATCAGCAGCACAATGTTGTTGGATTGGCTCTTTACATGTCCCCATGGCAATCAGCTAAAGATGGGGACCCAAGCAGCATCAGAAATACAGTTGTATCTTAATAGGAGCTATAACAGCATTACAACTATACGGTTACCTTGCTCTCAAATTCTTCTGCTTCTTTTAGCTCCTGGGGATACCCGTCGATCAGAAAACCTTTTGTGTCCCCTAACTTGGAAATCATGGCTTCCTTCAGTAGCTCTAGGACAATACCCTGCATTGGAAAAAAAGGGAGTGACCTGGTTAATAGTAAGAAAGTCTGATGCATTGTTTGTTACACTGACTTTAGTCCTAGGCCCTTGAGAACTGCCTTGTTTTGCTAAAAGCAGGCCCTGTAAAAATGCAGGTGTTTTTCTTGTCCTGCAACCATCCGGGCATGCTACTTTTTATTCTCTCAGGCCCAGCTGTGCTACACAAGTCTAGTGTTGCAACCCATCCAAGAGTTCCCAAAGTGTCCTCTAGATAGCTGGGAATATTTCATGGATTCAAAATTAGTACCTGTGAAACTCCGGGGTACTGTTGCAGCGTTTTCCAATCTGATTGCATTTGCTATGTCATTGATATAATTATACTACATGGAAAATGATCAGAGACCCCATCTAACCAAACACACTGAAGAGCAAAGCAATCAAAATCAAGACTCAGCACAGCTTTTAGTTTCCCCCAAGCAGCACTTCCCAGTGTCTTTCATTAACAAACACATTCTGTGATCTAACCACACTTGCTGAAGACCCACCAAGAGTTAGGGCTGTGGACCTGCTACGTGAAAGTCAAGTCCAGCTGGGAACAACACACTCTGTCTTCATAGTCACCATTAAACTGCAGTCCAGCTACTCTGGATGCAGGCCAGCTCTGCAGGGAACTGCTGCAGGTATTGTAAATCAGAATAGCTGCCAGGAGGACCAGCTCTGAATCTGAAATGGGAATCTACAAAATTGGCATCAAGTTTCTGTTTCCTGTACTTATTCTTACATTTTGCAATGCATAGTGCAGCGTGTGTCTCACTGTATTTCATGACTAATTTGTTGCCTCTGTGAGTCTCAAATGCAAAGAAATACTGGCAGAGAAAGGAGAAAGAAGTGCCACAGATCTGGCAATGAGGAAACTTTTCCCTCAAGTTGCAGATTAGTTTTACTTAAATCATCAGCTCTAGTCTCTTATTGCCACCCTTTTAGACAATCTACTACTGCTGCCTTTGTTTAACTATTAGGACCCCAAATAAAACTGTCGCTTACGCCAGGCACAGGTTCACCACAGTCCGTGATGTCTTTGATCAGTTTACTTCTCTCTGACAATGATGATAACTCATTTTGGAGAAGGTCACCAATAGACAGGAGAGTAAATCCATATTTCTTGGCTAACTGTTCGCACTGGCTCCCTTTGCCAGAGCCAGGCCCACCTTTGAGAGAGAAAAATATATAGAATTAGAAAAGATTTCTAATTTCTCATACTATAACAACCAAGAAAATGGGAGGAAATTGATGAGACTACCTATTTCATAGTTTATTTTTTTTTAAAGGCAGTATATAGAGTAGAACAAGTGATTTACTTCCCTTCTGACACACTACGCTGCTAGCTCAAAATGTGCACAGAAGTCAAAGGAGTTAATAACAGTGTGAAATCTCTTGCAGAAGAGAACTTGTTCCTAAAACACCATTACCATGTAACAGGAAAACATAACAGACAGACTGCCAGTGGGGAAGGGTATTTGACTCAGTGTATGCTCAGCTTGATAGCTGTAATGAATATGAGAAACTAACGTTCACTGCATCCTTGCGAGGGAAATATTTTGCCCCCATTCGTGTAATGGAAAGGTATAGGTAAAGAGATGGTGAAACCTGTCTCTGTTACGTGGGATGCTGTACACATAGGTGTACAGTAACTAAACCCTTTTGTACTATAGAGAACATAAGAGTAGAATTTCACTGTGTCCCTTTCCCTTGGAAAGCTTTCATGTCCTGGCATGTCTGCCAATAACTGAGAGCCAGGTAGTGAAGCTGCTCAACGCTGACAAAGGGTCGGTCATGCCCTCCGTGCAGCTGTGGTACTGGCTTGCTCTTCAAGCGTGCTGCAGGGAAGTGCAAGAATTGGCAACAAAAGGCACATGGAGACCTTGTTGTCCACGTCCACAACTGTAAGAAACAGCTGGAAACCAGCGCTGAGCCAGGCCCCGGGGCAGACACCAGGAGGGGTGCAGGCAGCTTCATCTCAGGTGAAGCTGCTCAAGCCATTTTACCACAGGCTGAAGGGAAGGCGTCTGCAGCCAGCCCTGCCCCATAGCTGCCGGGGGTCTGTGGGGGACAGGGAGGGCAGGGTGGTGACTGGTGAACCCTCTAAGTGTTGTCAGAAACGGCACCTCAACCCTCGCTGCTTTCTTTGAGGGGGCAGACAGCACCACCTCAGGTGACCAAAACAGCCCTTTTTCTGCGGCTGTCTCAGAGGCTCTGGACACCTCTTTGCTCTGCAGGTGCCAACATTGCCCTGTCCCACCTCCTCAGCGGAGGTGCCTGCTTTTCCTTCCTCAAGCTGAAGGCCAACCGTGTGAAACACCAGATGCCTGTTTTGTCTCTTGCTGAGTGACAGCAGCCACCCCAACCTGGCTGCAAAAGTGGGCAGCCCATGGAAATGGCTGGAAGCTACTTCTTGGGGATCCTGTGGCTGTGGCATCCAGAGCGGCCGGTGGAGCTGAGGTGAGTAGGGCTGAACCGGGTGGGGGGCTGAGGCGCCATGTTGTTGCTGGTGGCGGAGGAGACCAGGAAAGCAGATTTCCTTTGTGACAATAGCAGGATTTGGAGAGAAATTTCAAGGTGTGCTGCAGTGTTCTTACATTCTTTGATGGATCTTTCCAGAAGATCTACTGCTGTAGGTGGTAATTATACCCTTGTAGAGAGACAGCTCTCAAAAGTAGAGGCAAGGCCAAGATAAAGAAAACAACCTATTTAAATCATGCTTTGTAAGACGGTGGCTTCTATTCCAAACAACTGTTTGGACTTGCAAATACGTACTACGCACTATTATGTGGATATAAGATGCTAGAAAATGTGTGATTTTTCCTTTTTGTTTATTTTTTCACAAGAAATATAGGAGTAACGTTCACAATAGAGTGAATTTGGCACCATCTCCTCCAGACTTGAACTTTCTTCTGATTTTTGCATTCAATTTAAGAAATAATTTCTCTGAGCATATAATTTCCAGAGAAGTTACAGCACTGTAGCTGAGAATAAAAAATGGGCCATAAGGAGGTAACATCAAAAGAATTTTTTTGGTATACTGTAACCTGGAGTCTTTTACTTCAGCTTCACAAAGACAATTATCAGCCCATGGTGTGAGAATCACACTTGTGCTACAATTTTAGCTAGAAATACATTTGTCACAGTCTCATTCTCTTGCCAGTGTGGGCTGCATGTTGCTTTTCTGTTGCTTTAATAAGACGAATATTTTTCTTTTGTAAAAGCACTGACTGAAAGAAAATGAGGAATAAATAAGAGTGGCTACAGAGAAATAGATGCAGAGAAATTGTAGACAAATAACCTGTAATGTGTAGTCACAATTTTATTTCTAGTCTGTTTTGGTTTCTTACATTAGTAAGTTTGTGTGTGTATGTTTACACACAGCTTGTTTACATTCTGTCTCCTGGTCTTGAATATACTAGCAGTGCAGTAATTGCATCCTATTTATTTGGTGTATATAAACAGTATTAGAGGAAAAAACCAGCTATGAAGATCACTTTATTCTATTTCTTATATAACTATTTCTTGCTGAACATGGAGCTGAGTAGAAATTTCATGTCTCTTCATATACTAAATAGACTAGATCCCCTTTTTGATATAACAATACAAGGACAATAGGACAATTTTATGTTGGTTAACAGGTAAATATTAAGGTAAATATTGATGTGTTCTATAATAACCTTTCTCTATTAGTATTTTAAAAGAGAACGCTGTGAGAATGGCATACATACAAGGCATACATATGACATACACCATAACGAGAATTACTCCAAAACATTAATTAAAATTGACCATGTTTATTTCTTTTATAGAAGAGTTCCAACAAAGCTGAGATTAAAATGCTGAGCTCCTTAAAGAGGAAAAGACATAATTAAATTACAGTTATATGCTGAAAATGGTAATTTTTATGGCAACTGCTATTAATTTAGTGCCATTTGATGAGAAGCAAAGCATCCTACTGCTTGATAAATGTGTATGACCCACTTACAAAATCTTGTGCATTCTTATCAGCGAATGAGATGACAGTTCTTGCTTGGCCTGATATGAGAAAAGGCTGAATGCCCCCAGGAAATTCAGCATTTAGGGCCAAATGTATACTCAGTGTTTACATCAATACTAACTTACATGCCTGAAGTTAAAGTATTAGTTAATGTCTCATGTCCTTCTGAAGACTATTACTTAATGTGACTTAAAAAGAGCTATTTAGGTGGGAAAGAATGTGAAAGTGCATTTTGTTTTTACTGATTAAATAATTCTTTCCTGCTCACTCAGAGTGCGTACTTAGAGGGCTGCTACAAACCCAGCTTTAACAGCAAATTAACCATGCAGTCATGAGCGTTACTATCAGTTTGTAGTGTTGCAAAAATTGTATTTTGCTCTTTTAGAGGGTCTCCTTACTAAATCTACGTATTTTTCTAAAAAGAATGAGAGAAAAAAAAATAATTTACTTGAAGAAAGTTTATAAGGAACAACAGCTGCATTGAAATTATAAACAAAAGCTAGCACAAAGATATTTTCAGTTAAAAAGGTTTCACTGCAACTTGTTATGCTGTTTTTCAAACAGAAAAGAACTTGAGGCATTGAAAAAGGTAGTGATGTTTTCCCAATGGCTCAATTGTTAGGAGGAGCAAAATATGTCCCCACTCTTGTCGCGAAGGCGTAAGATTCTTTGAGAACATTGTCATTTTTTCTGTATGCTGTCATCTTTTACTCTGCCTATGAATATTTTGGGGAAAAAAAAGATTGTGTTAACAGACTGATTCATGGTAACTTGCTGTTCAGATTAATCATGTTGTCTTCTAATTTTCATATATGACATGAAGGTAGAGTTAAAGCCTTGAAAATGACCAGAGGAATTATGAGTGTTCTGTGACCTGTAGGAGAATGTAGAACTGCCAGCAGTTCTTCAGTGTTAGCATGCTTTTGTACTATGCTAACATTACTAAGCACAGACCATATTGCTTAAAAATTCATTCATTAACTTAATAAAAATAAGAAGTTGCAGATTAAGAAATTGAGCACATTTTGAGTCAGTGAGACTGTTCTTGGAAACGGAATCCTTTGTGTGTCCCTTTATGCTTTCTGATACAACAGTAAGTGACATCTGCAACCAGGGTACCAGACAGAGCATAGAAATTAAATGTGGTTCTGGATACTGCTTTTCTGCAGACAAGGCTGGATTAAAAGATTTACACACTCCCTTAGTGCAGTTTTCCCTTCCATTATGTTGATTCAGCTGCCTGTGAAACTGTGTAAGGGGATCTTCTGGTAAATAACTTTCTGGCAGCGCTACTGACTTAGGTGGTCACCTTTTCCCATTTAATTATTGACTGCAGAAATGCTTTATAGGGAGTACTTCAAGGGGAGAAGAGTAATCTTTGTGGGTAGGGAGAAATGACAATCACCCAAGCAGCACTTCTGAATGTTTAATTGCAGCCTGCCTCAGATCAGTGAAAGATCTCAGTTTAAGAAATGGAGACTCTTACACTTGCTCTCCCTTATGCCCCAATCTCCCCCAGACTATCACAGATGCAAGCCTAGGCATGTGATTCAAATGTACTGGTCTGGCCTGGAGCACAGCATCACAAGCAGATGAATTAATGATGCTAGAGGGACAGGAACAGATGAATTAGTGATGCTGGGCCTGCTGTTGCGAGTGAGCAGGGACAGGAACAAGCAGTATGAACAGTTCATGAACCAGTTTTGCTGCCAGAAATATTAATAAAGCAGAAGTGTCATACAGACAGACTGGGATGTCTCTATTTGAAACTTGTGAAGTATTACAAGTTTATCATATTCCAAAATACCATGAACATTTACATAAAAAGCCAGCAGCAGGATTTACAAGAGAGTCCCACCTTTCATTTTAAAATGTTTCCATTTCTAGGTCTTATTTTCACAATGAGTATCATCCCTGGATCATGGAAAAGTGCTTGCAGGGGAAACCTAGCTGCATAGTTGGCTGGAGTCTCAGAACTGAAATCAAAGTAACCCCAGTCAAGTTATCCTTTATATGCAAGCTATGATTTTGGACGACTTAATCGGTTTGACAGTTCTATCAATGCTACTTAGATTATTTATAGAAATAAAAATAAGCCTTAGCCTCAGAATATGGGATTTGGAGGCTTCTCAACAGCACCTGCTCTGTTATTCATGTATGATTTTGATCTGAGAGAAATCGTATATGAATGATACTATTATTTAAAAACAACAACAACAACAAAAGCCCTCAGGTGGTTTTCCTCTCCCCCACCCCTACCTCCCTGAAACATGATTTTAATCAGAAAACAACCTGGCGTATATGTTGGCAGAGTGATGTGGTGTCCTGGAACACCGCTGAGTTTTCACCATTTTCTTGAAGTAAACGTGGTGTTCATTTCATGGCAAGTCAGAGAAAGCAGCCTTCATCAGCTTCTACTGTTAGTGTTTGGACTGACTGAGGTTTTAGTTATCGGCACTGCTCATCCTGTGCCTATCTGATTTTAGAAGGAGCTGTAATACAGGAGCTGTACTGTAATTAGGTTGGAAGGGACATCTGGTAAAATGCCCTACTTGAAGCAGGGCTAAATTCCAACTTAGATCAAGTCATTCAAGGTCTGACATATCTTAGACAAATGAAGTTTTATGATTTGTGATTTTTGGGGTGGTTTTGTGTGGGATGTTTTGTTTTTTCTTTTTTTATTTTCTTTTTTTATTTTTTGGGGGTGTGGGGGGAAGAGGAGATATGTTTTACCTGTAAGTGTAAGAGGAGATAATATCTTCAGAGTGTCAGCTAAAAGGCTGGTCTTACATTGAGTTTAAACCATTTGGTTCATCAGCATGGCAAAGATTCTGCAGAAGAAATTAGTGACACTGACTAAGTTTTAAACACTATGTTTAAGAGTGAGGAGTTTGTCTCTGGTCCAAAGTTCAGAAAGATTCCTGAAACTTTTCTGCTTCGGTTTCAGCCTCAACCAAAGCCAAATGTGGTTGGCTTGCAATACTCCTGTAGAGGATAGGGAGGGGTAGAGCTCCTGGTAACTTTGTGACACATGACAATTTTCTGGATGTGATATAGAGCATTGCATTACTTAATAATGATGAAATCATATATTGTTTATTGTGGTTAAGATGTATGTTTCATGTTGCTCTGATGAAAAGAGTTTTCTTGGTTGGTGGTTTTTTATTATTGTTAGTTTTGTGTCTTTTTTTCTTTTGTGACTGGCAATAATTACAAGTTTTGAATATAAGCACATCCCCCAAATTTCTTTTCTCTTGTTTATTTTTTCTCATGAATTTTACTTTCCAGGCCAAATTTAACTTGGTTTTCCTCTTTTATTACCCTGCTGTTATTTCCCATATTTTTGAGTTGCTGGTTCTGTGTCTTTGCTTTGCTGTCTGGATAAAACATTGACATTGTTGCTTAATTAATCCAAGTTGGCTGTTATTCCAATTAATTCCTATGTTAGCTCTAATGTAAATCTTTACTAATTAGATTTTTTTTTTCTTTCCCTTTTTGGACAATTTTCAAGAGAAATCAATGGGGGAGGGAAATTGTCTGCTCTTTTCCCCCCCTTTTGTCTTACAAACAGTATCTCAGTTTGTCAGCTCTGGCAGATGGTGTGTGTGTTTCAATTAGTTTGCAAACTACTTGAAATGCACATCTTTAGAACTCTAGTTTTAAAACAAATTCATAAGCAGCTTAGTATTTCCTCATGAATACATCTATGTAATGAGTAAACATACCTAATAACACCCAAGATAGTTTTTTCCCATTCAAGTATATACAGCAGCATGCTTCAACTTATCTTCTCTGCTTGCTTTCTACTCCAGGTCTCATGGGCTGAACATTTCTAGTGCTGCCCAGTGCAATGTAGCACTAAGCCACTGAGAGCATGTGGTGTCTATTCTTTCCCCCTCGCTCCCCTCACGCATGACAGTTTTGCTCTCTTCCTGTGAGGCTTCTTCAAATATTTCTTTTGTCCTTGCACAATTCACAATGATCAGACTTCAGCTCTTGACTGACATGTAAGACAGCTTTACTGCTAAGGCAAATAGAATGCATCTGGCTATTGTGTATAATGTTAAACCTGGAGTATATGTGGGTCAACAAATGATTCAGGCAGATTTACCTGCCTGAAATGGCCATAAGGAAAAAGAGCTTGTGTGCACTCCAACCTAGCACCAGCAAGAAATCTGTCTCTGGGAAATACTTACCTAGATGGAGTTAAATCAAGATTTTGCAGCCAAATGAGCAACCACAAAGATCTCGTGATGGTCAAAAAAATTCCAGGATAAAAATATACCCTCACTTTTCAGATCAGACTTCAAGAAGCTTTTTCAGGAGTGGGAGGATGAGGGTGGGGATGGAGTATTTTGGGAAGAAGTATAAATCATTCTGCATAATTTGTGGAAAAGTAACCCATGTTTGTACTTACTCACACTTTTCATAACACTTTCAACAAATAAAACTTAGAATTTTGATTAAGCACCATTTTTCCTCTGTTCCTAGAAAGCATTTACTAGAAAGTCTGAGGTGGATTTAAGAGCAGCAATAAATAGGGAAATAGTATGTTTTCCAGTTTGACCTGGAAGACTGCTAGTATATGGCCTATAAAAAATTATAAATAAAAATTAGAAACCACTCTTTGAAAAAGAAAAAGCAGTCCAGAGGTAAATGAAAAATATGTCTTACTATGGACAATTTCAGAGGCAAAAGTTCTTGAGTGTCTTCACTTTTTTTTTAAATTTAATCTATTTGTACAAAACCAAGCATAATTTTCCAATAAGATATGTGGGGCAGAGAGAATGAGAATTTGTCACTGTAGTGAACAGCAGAAAGTTGTACTTCAGTAAGCATGGAATTAGAGTTTGCTTAAAGGCTGAAAACTGTATTATGCATCTTTCCCTTAAGAAAAGTCTCCAACAAACTCTTCAGGAAGCTAATTTTACTTTTTCCAAACACATCCACCATTTTTTTCCACTAGATTGAGTCAGCTTATATTTGGTTTAATATAGGATAAGATGAAAGTACAACACATGAACATGCTATCTCTTCACAGAATCATTTAGGTTGCAAAGAACCTCTTGTGATCATCTAGTCCAACAACTCTGTTATGCCAGGGTCAGCTACAGCAAGTTGTTCAAGACTGTGTCCAGTCGGGTTTGAAACATCTCTAGGGATGGAGACTCTACAGTCTTCCAGGGCAGCCTGTTCCAGTGTTTGACCACCTTCACAGTAAAAGAAGTGTTTTCTTGTGTTCACTTGGAATTTCGTGTATTTTAAATTGTCCCCATTTTCTCTTCTCCTGTAACTGGGCACTACCAAGAAGATTCTGACTCCCTCATCTTCCCTCCCATCAGGTATTTATACATATAGGTAAGATCCCTTGGAGACTTCCTTTCTCCAGGTTGAAAAGTCCCAGCGCTCTCAGCCTCTCCTCATCTGAAAGATGCTCCTTTCCCTCAAATATCATTGTGGTCCTGCACCAGACTTGCTCCACTAAGTCAATATCAGTCTTACACTGGGGAGCCCAGTCTGGACCTGTACTCCACATGCAGCTTTGCCAGTGCTGAATAAAGAGGAAGGATCATCTCCCTCAATCTGCTGGTATTTTAATGTTTTTTGATGCCGTCTGAATTCTGAATAAAACTTCTGTTCATTTATGTCTATTTTCAGATATCACTTCCCCCACCCCCCCAGGAAAAAGAATGCACCAAGTGACTTTTATATATAATTACCCATATTGGCGCATCCTTCCTTAGGTCCTTGCAAATATGTGGTTCCTGCTCTACATTGTAAAACAGTTCTGAAAAACTCTGCTTGATACAAAAGCAATTATTCTTTCCAAGTAATTAGTAGCAAGCTTTAAGCTGAAACTTGTAAATACTCTGGTTATAATTTGTTTTAAAAGGCTGTTAAAAATTTATGCTAATTACAAGTCTCATTTATATAATGATGGGCATTAACATGGTGCTATTCCTCTGTGGACTTCCAGAAAGCAATATAAACCTTAAACCTGCAAAGCCTCAGTGCATGCTAAGCTTCATGCATGGTGATCAGTCCATTGACTGTTTAACAGCATGTTGAGCACATGCAGAATTGAAACCTATATTTAAGAGTTGTTTCACAAATGAAGAGGTGA